TATATATATATATATATTATTTCAAAATAACAAGTCCTACCTTATTTTGGACAATTCAAATATTGAACCTTTATATATCAAAATGTTTCTAACACTTGTAAAAAGACAAATAAAGGATATTAGGCTTGCACACATGAAAATGGGTCTTGTAAGCTTGTTGTAATTCAAATATGTTGATTTGTCTTCCTTGCACGTGAGAAAATGAGATCCAAAATTATTTTTGATTACATAAATTATTTTATTTGAGACAAACTTTATCCATAAATGATCATTTTTATGTTTCAAATTAAGAGTCGATCCGGTCTTTAAAATTCGCGTCTAACTTTACCAGATCTAATATTTTATTCTCTAAAAGGTCATATTTGGATAAAGTTTATCCAACTAATTTATGGGATAAGGTTTATTCCTTAACTTTTGAATGGTTTACATGGCTTACGAGCTTCCGAAACTCTATAAATAGAGGTCTTGGACACACTGCTTGATCATCCAAAAAAAGCCTTCCTCACTTCTTTCTCTCTACACTTTTCTGAGTCATCATTTTGTCACTTGTTAGTTCTGCTCTTCAAATTCTTGAGACGATCCTGTTGTATTATAGGGGCTTACGTGTATTTACAAATAAATTTTTCAGGTCAATGTCATTACACGTCTTAAGAAGATTTAAATAACGTATTTGTTCAGTATTTCAGTGCATCCACCTAATTATACAACAACAAGAAATTTAGTATAATATATCCTGAATATAAAAAAATTCTTTCTCGTGAACTATCTAAGTATCTATATTGTGTCATCTTTATAGCACTAAATTATTATTTAACATGAATATACATTCCATGACTATCACACCACATGCATATGCTTATCATGATAGAACTTACCTATATATATATACTTCACCAACAATTATTCAGTACAAAGACGTACGATGCATCGCCCTGATCATTTTGGGTTGAACTTTGCAGAATGAATATTTGAAATTAATTGGAAGAATCAAGTAAACAAATTATAGAAAGATCCACCGAGGTGGGCAAGGTTTTAGTTCACCAAGTTTTTTTGGTATATGATTATGATATTTGACGTGACAAAGGGAATATTGTTTTTATATATCTTCTTTGTAGTGTCTGGAACCCTCTTCCCTTCTCTGTGCGCAGATGCGTGTACAACATAAAAATTTGAAAAATGCTAAATGAATACCCTATTTTTTGGTCGTATAAATAACTGAAAAAGACAAAGATAGTAGAAAAAAAAAGGAATGAGAGAGAAAAAAATGATAAACAATATATGTGATAAAAAAAACAGGAGATAAATAAGAAGTAAAAAGAGGAGAAGTTAGATGAAAGAGAAAGTAATTATATATATGATGATAATAATTAACTTTCTAATATATTGTTTATATAATATTTTTATTTTCTTTTTCATGTCTATTTAATTTCATATTTCTCTCTCTTATCTTCTTACAGATCTCCTCTCCTCTATCCAATTTTTTTACAAATTAATATATTGTACGAATAAAATGGAACTAAATTCAAATTTGGCTGACACAAATGGAAGTTGTTGATGTGCGAAGTTAGGGAGAATGAAAGATGGTATATAGCACTAGGTAGATCAGATGCGTGTATATTATAACGACGGAAAGTTCTATTGTTCCATCATGCTTTCAAAATATACGACCTTGCTTGAAACTTTGAATAGTCTCCGTAGAAAACACGATGCATGCTGATAATATAACATTAAGAATATCAACGTTTTCAAAATAATTGTAGTATCGACTTCCTTCTCTTCCACAGATTTGGCTTAGCCGTGAGTTTAATTATGATCAATCACGATTGATTAGCCCTGACCTACAATTATTATAGCAAACTAAGCAACATGGAAACTGTTGGGTTATCTATATAGAGCCTATGGAGCTAGAGATTCGTCATGTAGTGAAAAGAAAAAGAAAATGAATTTGAGGGGGGTTTGTGAAAGTGAAATATAAGAAAAGTCAAAGAGGTCCTAACTACACTGAGATTTGATCAACAAAGATATCCCTGTCGGCTGAGTGAGGACAAAATTTTGTATTATTTTTCCTAATAATTTAATTTTTGTTTTTAAGATCGTGTTGTAAGACTCATTTTTATTATACTTAGTTATGAGGAGAGAAATAGATCAAAGTAGATGCCAGTGGGCATGATAATGGGGCGGGACGAGGGCGAGTTTTACGTCCTCCGCCCCTGCAGATTTAAACTGCCCTTGTTCCTGCCCTTAATATTGGTAAAATCTGGGTATTCATCCCTGTCCTTGGCAGGGTTCAGATTTTCCCGTCTCGTCCCTGTCCCTGTCCCTGCCCCCGTCCCCGTTCTTATCTTTTTTTTTTCTTTTAAAAAATATGAACAAATTTAAAAAAAATAAAAGAAAAATAAAATAATACAAATTTTATATATAAATATTTCTAATTTTAGTTTATATATATATATATAAATAATTTTTTAATTATATTATTAATCGGGGCGGATATTAATATCATTGTCCCCGCTTCCATTCTTGATTTTATCAATAAAGAAAAATTTGAATTCGAACCCGATAAATACAGGTTTTTCTTGTCCAAATCGGGACGGGTTTGGACGGGACCCACAAGGACGGGTCAGATTGTCATGTCTAAATGCCGGTTAATAAAAAGTGTTGTTTTTGGGCTATAATAAATATAGTCATTTTGTTTGGGTTTGAATAAGTTAAAAGTATATTTGAAAAAAAAAATTATAGAATTTTTTTAATAAAAAAAATTCTCAAAAACTCGTAAATTAAGACACTCTACGAATTTATGAGTTTTATTTACAATCCGGTTATTATTGCTAATTAAAGAGATCAGATATATTGTTTCTAATCACCCATATGATTAATATTCTCTCTCATTTTCATAAACATTACAACTTTTGTTTTCTGAGTCCGTGGATGATGGGACTCTTCCGCACGTGCATGCACGTACGCTTCCTTAACAGTACCAAATCCTGAATCTGTCACTTCAAGTAGATAACAAATTGAAAACTTCTATGTTTAATTTCCAAGTCCATTATATATATATACGTTGACCTTTATTTTGTTTCTCTTCTTGGCTTCGTTATTTGTGATAGATGATTAAACAACAAAACAATAATTACCAGTGGATTATAAATTTCCATTTGTTTGATGAGGTTGGTGAAGATTGGTTCCCTACTTTGAAATTTTGAAACTAGGTACCCAATGGAGTGGTACGAATATAAATGACAAAGCCATCGCTAACAAAGAGATGAAGGAGTCAAAGCAAGGGTAATGATTTGGTGCTGTTGACACTTTTGACATCAATTTCCCTTTGCCTTGATTGAAAAGTTACCACTTATATTATATATGTATCTGTTGTCTCTTCTCTCACGTTAATCTTATGACATGACCCTTTGTTCATCAGCTATTGCCAAATGCACTACAATTATCATGATCACCTATCTCACTTCTTATGACTAGTTTTGTGTCAGTAGAATCACTTAATTGATTCTAATAATTGCCTAAGTCTGAATATTTATTGAAAACGAGGAGTTTTGGAAACTTCACTGAGTTTAACAAAACATAGAGAAAGTTATATGAGTCATGAGTGTACTTGGAGCACAGGTTTTCTTAATTGTCTTGTTTTATTTTAAATTTAAATTAAATTTCAATATATATATATATATATATATATATTTATAAATATTCATAGTTAAAATTATACTTATATAGAATTTATATTATTTTTTAAATCCAAAATATAATTTATATTACCAAAAAATATATATTCATTAAGGATTTTAATTACAATATAATTTATGAATTAAAAGAAAATATGTTATAAATTTTAATTACATAAAAATAAACATCTATCCATTACCATGTGCGAGTTAAAACTAAAAAAATATTAATTACATATTATTTTTAACTCCATAAATATTAAATAGGAAAGTCGGGTTAATATTTACGAAGAGAAATAAACATATGATTTAAATACGATTACTGACAATTTTAGTTCTCATATGGGTCCAATGAGAGAACACGATTCTTGGGCTTTATTGAACTATAGGATTAGAGAATTAGAGAATTTTTTTTGGTCGAAGATTTACGCATGATCAGGTTAACTCTTTTAATTTTTTTCCTATAGACAACACTCAATAATTCAAAAACTTACATAAGAGAAATTATATATACTCTACTTCAATAACCATCTATTAATATGTAAATTAGTAATTTGTAACGAACTTTGGAATCTTAAGTCTAGACGGTAAGTCACCGTGTAACTATTACTTAATAACTTGAATGTATTTGAAGTTTTACTTAGTCTTACTAATTTTTAAAAACATTTTGCAAATACCATTTTTACAATGTTTTTTTTGAATCTTGTTTGTTTTTCAAAAATATTATGTTTATCCATGTCTAATATAAAATAAAGTCATACTTCAATGATAAAAAAAGAGAATGAAAACCATTCATGTATTTCCCAAAAAACTGCACTATTTTTGATACAGCGTTTCCATCTAGCTCTTATCGGCCGAGTGGTACTGAAATCCATGATCAAGAAATTTTGTTTACGAAATAGGTTAACACACTCTTGTAACTTGTTAAAACCTCACTAAGGTGATATAAACAATACGTATTCAAGAGTCTACCATTTCTCTTTGATTATATGCACTAATTACAAAATATTGTTCTAAGAAGTGATATACTGTGCCATACGAATGTGTATGCCCTGTGTGCAGGACAACTCACTCTCGCGCTGATCAATCAAGAGGACAACAATAAAAGGGATAGAAGAAAAAAATAATGGTACACGACATCATGTGACATCAACGTTTTGCGAAAAATTCAATTTGTTTTATGGCTACACCGAAGATGTCAACCCTTACAAATTGCAAAAGCAGAACCCTTCATAAATGTTCTAAACATCTCCTGTATCGTGCAGGATAATAACATTACATGGTGCAGCTACCAAGCATTATGCACATGTTTTCTAGTTCTGGCAAACTTAAGGTTAATGCTTCACCATTGCCACGCCTACACTTCTTAAACAGATGAAAAGGTTGGAATACAGCAAAGGAAAGTGGGTCATGTAAAGGTGAAAGTGCATGTTCAAAATATCTCTAGAATCTAACAAAAAAAAACATCTATTACTTTCATTAAATTAAGCCGAACAAAACATACTTGAAGCCAATGGGTATGACTATCATGATATATTTACTACGACAATATATCTCCCATAATATCAACTCTCAAAATCAGGATATTTTTACATCTCGCAAAACCCTTGCAGCCATTGATCCATACCTTCTGGCTTCCCACTCACTAAGCTTCGCATTTTGCGAGATTGGCTTACTGTGATCCTCGACAGTTTCTTCAGCGGGACCAGATCCTTCGACTATAACATTTCCCTTGCTGCTTTTATCCTCCACACCAGTTTCAATATCAACTTTAACAGTTGCCTGACCCGAGTTCTCTGTGCACTCTGCTGAATGTTTAAATTCCATAATGAAGAGTTGAATACTTGGATGTTGAAATGTTTCGTCCATCTGTACAAAGTGAAGCCTTGAGTGTAATTTCGACTAGTTAACCAAACATGCCATAACTTAAAATCATATGGCTAATTCAAGGCATATATGTAGTGAATCTAGTGATAGCCATAACTCATCATAGCTTACCTTGGACTTTGAGACAGTCTTCACGTCAAAGTTTCTTTTCCACATTTGAAGCATCTTCTCATGGACACTTGTGGAGCGGATCTCATAGCCCAACTTCATGAAGAAATTCAAAATAAAATAAAAAATAAGTGAATTATCCAACTTTACTATAAGAATTAAGTGCATAATTTAATAGAAAAGTTGAATAACATACCAAAATTGTAGTCCTAGGTCCAGATAAAGCAAGTATTGTCTGTAATAGAGGCTCCAATAGATGCTCTACATAAACCTTCAAACAAATACAGCAAAACAAATAGTAACATAATGATCCACTGAAGGCAGAATGACAACCAATTTCTGAGTAATATACCAAATTAGTCTAAAAAATGTTAGGAGCACTGGTAAATTTAATCCTTAAAAATTTAAAATTACCAAATGAAAATGATCTTTGTTTAGTAATTTTAAGAACTAAAATGATTTTTTTTTTAATTTCAAGGATTAAGGGCTAAAATGACTGATGTCTGATAATTTCAAGGATTAAAATCACATTTTTTAAAATTTTAGGAACTAAATTGATCAGTGCTCGTAATTTTAGGAATTAATTTGGTATAATGGTAATGATTTTTTTTATTTTTATAAATGAGGTAACTGTTAAGTGACATTCACTTCACATTGTTTGCAGAAAGGTTCTATACTTACAACATCAGTGCCAATAATGTAGTCAAATGGAGGACCAACAGCCTTAATGTGACTCTCATCTCCCCACTGAAGCTCAGCAACCTTGATTGAACCAAATGACTCTAAAAACAATTGATTTCCAAGTAAGATACAACAATCATTCAAATCCAGGCAGGAATCAAATACAATGACGAGATTCAAAAATATACAGTAGGAATTTAAAATAAATAAATATATAAAACAAAAAGGCAATGCGGATGGTTTAAAAGTTTCAAAGCAGACCAGGATTCTTTTGCATGATCCTTGAGATATTACGCTCAACATTTCTCTGTAATAATGGCAAAACCTCCTTTTGGTCTGTCAGTATAACATCACACCCCAGCAAAGCCATGCCTGCAATGGAACTTCAAATCAGACTAGGCACCACCCCCCAACTTAAGTTCTGAAAGTAGGGTAAAGATAAACAAATTTCAACTAGGAGGGCATATAGGCGAACTAAATTGACTCAATAAACAAATTTTTAACAATAATTTTCAAACTCACCAACACCAGAAACACCACAGCCAGCTCCTAATTCAATTACACGTTTTCCTTTAAGTTTAGCTGGGGAAAACCTTCCCTTTCTGCAATTCCGTTCCTGAAACAATATAAGATGCACCCTAAGAAATCAAGATAATGGGAATTTAGAAATATTACAAGGTAATGGAAACTATATGAAATATCAAAAAATCATCTAGAACTAGTTCCTCTTCAAAGGATCTAATCTAATCTTGAGATCATGTCCCCAATGAAGAGAGATAATGTGACTTGTTTTCATTCATGTCATTTAAGTTTTCTCTTCCCACTTCCCATTACTTTTTGATAGCAGAAAGCTATGGAAATAAAGGTGATTTATATGCATTCATGTCAAATTTTATTTTATCCATGGACAGTTTCAAGAATAAGTTCAAGTCCAAGGCTTATCTGTCTGGACAGTGGACATCTGGTTTTTCATGTACACCACAAAATTACAAGGTACACATCATCTATGATTAAAAATTGAGAATATCAAGAATAATGGAATAAAACAATTATGTAAAAGTACACTTAAGATCTAATAAGATTTTTCGTTAATGAAAAGAGTAACAGGACATTCCAGATCTAGAGCATGCGAAGAGCACACACAACTTACAAGAAACTTGGCAAACACAAGTGATGCATCCCATACTGTAGTCCCTAGGTGCTTGGAATTGGGATCCTATTGAAAACAAGGATTGAATTGTCAGAAATATTATAGATATACGAAAGAAAAAAACAACAAAATATCAAAAACTATCGATCTTCAATAAAATCATTTTAAGTCAATGGCTAGAAGCTGAAGCAATATGAAATCTACGAAAACTTGTAAAAATAATTTGTAGGCACATGGCACATAGGTCATCCATGATTTCAAAAATTTCCAATGCCGTTCATCATCTCTATTGCATATTGCTATTGTATTGCCCTACATCTAACTGGTTCTTTTTCTTCCCAAATATTTTGGTAATACTTACTAATAAACCAGAAGGTTAAAGCTTCTAATGCACATTAAATGGCCTTGGTGCACCAGTAAATTATCATCATCTTACTCAAATTATCCCCTCATTGTGATGCACATCTTTCACTTCTTAACAGAAAACATACCTAGAATTTTCTAAAATAAAGGTTTTTGGATGCGCAATAAAATAGCAAAACTAGAGTTCAATTGGACTGTTTCAGAAAAAAAAAAAAAAAAAAAAAAAAAAAAACCCCCCTTGAAGCACCCTCCAAACACATGTTTCAAAGACAGTAGAGTACCTGAGAAAACTGCAACTCATGGCCCAAAACCTCCAACGGCATCTCAAATGTTGTTGGGGAATTTAACCTGATAAAACAATAATGAATTATGAAAGATGTATTTATCATATGCAACGAATTGTGCTAAAGAAGTATCATTCAATTGTCTTAACCGCTAGAGGCTCTGCACAACAACTGTAGTAACTCAAACAATGTAAAGCTAGATATCACCATATATTATCTTCCTAAACAGCTTAAACAAAAGAAGAAAAAAAAGAGTTCTTAATTGTGTTGAGATGGTTGGATCCAATTCTCGACTTAATAACATGATAGGGCGTGGTAAAGGCAGGGAATAGCTAATCGTATGTGGTCACCGGGTATAATTTCCACCAATTCAGAACAAGTGAAAGTCAAAGCTGTGTATCTCGTTTTAATGAAAAGGGTGGAACAGAAACAACCAAGTACCAGAAATAACTTCAACTGTTTATCCAGAAAAAGACAATGAAGTTAATCATTCAATCAACAAATACCAAACACATCTCTCAAAGCCTCGAATTATAAAAGATATCCATGGTTCCATGAAAATTGCAATTTAGTCTAAAATGACAAGTCGAAGAAAAACACGCAGAAGCAGGTGATGATATGCAAACAAAATAGCATTGACAATACCAACAACAATAAATACTGCTGATGCACACACTAATGTTACTGTCAAAGTTCAAATATATATCTTATCATAATTACAATTTGCGTGGAAAGATGCAATTTCTATTTTTTTCATTAAGAAGGAATGAATACCTGTCAGGCTCCATGAGATCACAACCTGCTAAGCAAACTCCTTAACAAGAAAGAGGAATCTAGAAGACCAATCTCCCACCTAAGGTCGTGCTCAAAATCACTGGGAAAGAGGGCAAAAAAAAAAAAGGAACTTGATTAACTACGAAGAGAAAGGAACACGCTTGGAAGGGGGCAGCAATAATAACAGTCGCGAAATATGGGAATGACAAATAATTTAACTCCTAATAGTACATTTTAGGTATCAAGATGTTTTTCCTAACCAAAACCCTAGCTTGTTCAAATCATTGATAGAAATTCAATTCCATTATTATTTTTCAGTCGTTTTTATCCAATTCAAAATATTTATCATATAGTTTTTTTTTCTTTTTTCAGAAAAAAAGTTGAAGTGAAAGTGGTGGAAAAGGAGTAGAATTACATAGATATATATAGCGAAAAATGAAATTGAGATGGGAAAGTGAACCATGAAACATGAAGGTTGAAGTCAGAGAGCGCACAGCTGAGGTGGAGTACAACTTCACCTTGGAATCAGCCAAAAGTTAGATGCGCGTGTCTCTTTAAACTTCTATCTTCATTCTCATGCGGTTTCGCTCATGTCTATATTTTCCTCTGTTTCTTCTCTCTTTTCCCTTTTTTCCAAACAATATAAAATAAAACAAAAACGATAAATACATTGATGAAATCAATATTTTTAATGATATTATAATTATTTTTTATTTATAGGAATTAAAAAATAATATCAGGGTTGAAACTTGAAATCCTATTATAATACTAGAATTTAAAATACTAGCAACTTACGAGGTTTAATTATGTTATATATATAATCATCCTTATAATATTTTAAGTAAAAAATATATAATTATTCTATTTTTAGGTGAATTATATTTCCCTAAGAATAATTGTTATATTCAACTAGAAATAATTGTTATGTATACAACTTTTAAGAGTCCATTATTTGACTCATTAACTAAAAAATTATGAATTTTATCGATAAATTTATTTAAAATAAGCTTGTTTAAATGAGTCAAAATTAAAAGAAGCTTAACAAGAATTTTATAAAAAGACTCGACATGAAGCATATATTATTTGTCCATTATATTTTGAAGCTATATTATAGAGAGTAAAGTGAGAAATGAGAGTTATCACACAATTTTCTAAGATTTTCTTTATTTCATTTGTGTGATTCCATTAGTCATGAACAACTAATTCATTTATTATTACGGTTTGACATGACTGATTTTGAATCTATGATATCATCCATGCTTTTATTCAATGAAACTTTTATTGAATTATTTATCATTCTTCTTGTTTTAACTTTGTGTGATTCTATGAAATTAATTAAGGTTAGAAAACCCTTTTAAAACCATGATCGAGAGAATAATATTAAGAAGTAATAACACTTATTATTGTGAATAAAATAAAAATTATTAAATAATGTTTAAACCTCCAATTTTGATGCAGGTTGCTTAATTAATTTTATTAAGAAATTGAAATTTTTATTAAGGAATCTAAAATTCTTCACCTAAGGAATTAGGATTAAAGTATTTTTTATTGGTTGTTGAATTAAGTTAATAATAAGTGAAATTAAATAATAATTGAAAATGATACATGTGAAGAAGGCTAGTGAAAACAATCCTTGATATATTTTATCATCAATTCTACAATATCTTTAATATGTTTTATGGTATTAAAACCCCAAAAACACATTCTTTATCTTTATACATTCTTCAAATAAATTTTTTTATGTATTTTCTTAATTATCATTTAATTAAATTAATTAACTGTGACACAAATTTTACAAATTTGATACTTGACTTTTATCGATTTTAAAATTTATGATAATAGGTATGTTTGCCAAAAGTCTAAGAATGATATTATTAATTAAGATTAGCTAACTTAACTTTACCAAGAGGACCTATCTTAATAGGTTGAATAGAATGTTTGAGTTATCGTAAATTTCTTGGTACCAAATTTTGATAGATAAAAAAAATACTTTAATTACTTTATTGATCTTAATGCGTTGGGTTATATATATATATATATTTATATATATATATATATATATATATATTATATATAAAGGATTGAGAGAGTATTTTGAATAACTTCTTACAAAATTAACAACTTTTTTACATCATATTTGCTTATTTTATTATGATGGGGTGCAAAGTGTGGATATAAAGTCTTATATTAGGTAAGAATGGACAAGTTAAGGAATATATAAATGAGAAAACCTACGAACATGATTCTTTAAAATTATTCTTTAAAGTTTTAAATTGGGATGTGGTGTCAAGTTCATATGTATGATTGGTTTGTTACTCATTGTTAAAGATCTTTTAGTATTTTAAACTTATAACAAAAGATTTAAAAAAATCATGTATTTAACTTTTATGGAGTTTCCCTCATTTAATTTCTTTCAAAAGTATTTATAATTAATGTGCGTAAAACTTTTAATATTGGGTAAAAAAAAATTATGTCGTCGGCTCTAGACCATTATAGATTCTAACAATATATAAAGTATTGACTTTTTATGTCGATTATAAAAATAAATGACATAAAAAGTTTTATTTTTTAGGTTGACAATTGCTTCTTTTTTGTATTTTTTTTCTTCTAGTTGCATTTGCATTTCTTTGTTGCGATCTTTTTCTCTTGTTGTATTTCTTTGTGTTTTGCCGGTATGCTTTTCTCCTCTTGTTCCATCTCTTTTCATTTTGTTAATGTGCTCTTTTCGCTCTCTCATCACATCTCTTTGCATTCGAGTGTCACACTCTTTACCTCTCATTCTTGTATCTTC